CTGAAACTCAAGACACATAAGTTCAGTAACTTAAACGTTACTGTACAAAGCAGTCTTACTGCAAGTACACCTACCTGTTTTCCTCCCTGACGGTTCTGATGATGGAGGCAACAGTGAAGCGACTCAAATTTGGTTGTACTCGTTGCCCAGCCTCCCTCATAGTCATCCCATGGACAAGGACATGGTCAACTAAAGTGGCTCGAATTTCATCCGAGACTTTGCATCTCTTTGGATCCATTGTTTCAAACCTGAATGAGCTGACTTTGGCCCTTTTATCTATCCATCGCAGGTTCTGATTGGTGTGTGCTAAATTTTGACTCCTAGTGTTTCCACCTGGTTAATTGTGTGCTAATTGAGCTCAAGCTATGCTGACTTAAGTTAACATTATTGCATGCTAGTGCTTTCTAAATGACTACATGGTGTAAGCACTGTAAAATGTAGGGATTTGTGTGTAGAGTTTTGCAGTAACAGTTCACCAAATTTGAGTCATGTGTCAAAGCAGGGAATAGTGTTTATAGTTCAGGGAAATGGGTGAGCTTTTTGACCAATAGCGTTACGGTTTTGAAATTTTAGTTTAGAGGCCTGGTTATAGTGTTTAAGCAATCGAGAAAAACTTTAATATAAACTAGGAACTGCAGTCTTTTATGATAATGTGCGTGTGTGTGTGTTGTGTTTCACCCCAATGATAAATGATCATGAGTCAGCTGCTATTTTTGTCTGAAACTGCTTGTCAGTTAGTTAATTTTGAGCCTCTGATAACGTCGAACTGCAAAACCACTTAAATTAAAGCAGAAGGTCTCCACTTCAGTCCGAGGTACTATAGTCTTTTTTTTTTATTGTATCTGGAAAACAAACTAAAATAAATATAAGAATAAGAAGCCAGAGTGGGATGCAGGACAGCAGTACAGCTGAGTTTTCTGTTAAGCATTAACAGCATTAAAAACCCTAAAGTTGAGTTCTGGCAGGTGCATTCAACCTTGACCCTCCTCTGTGTGAACCGAAAGGCTCGGGAAATTATTATTATCATTATTTGGCTGGGGGATTCGTTCAAATGTTGAATGGAAAATTTCATTAGATGTCATTTGTGTGATAAACAAGTGGCCCTAATCCTCTTCCGTACAAGCATTTCTGGCCTGTTATCGCAAATATAATTGGTCATGTTGGCACTACTGATATTGTAACCATAATACAGTAATAATAATAACACTATGCCCCGGTCAGGATTTGGGCAGGGGGACGGACCATACGGTAGTGCAATTCATCCTGATCGGTGATTGGTCAAATGTCTAGAGTGAAAGAAGGGGACTTCTGATTGGTCAAAAATGTGCAATGAAGGCGACTTCTGTTTTTCATTCAGTCTGTTGTCTTTTTTCTTTATTAGGTGATGTTTCCAGCTCCTTTATCCCACCTGATGGCTCAGCTGTGGTCTGTGATCTTCAGCGTGATCCCAATGTGTTATTTATTTATTTTTACTGGTTTACAATGACACAAGAGCAACAATTATCAGCGTATGTACAATAAAAGCATCAAGATTTTACTCCAACATTGATGAGGATTTTTCTTTTGCTCCTTTGAGCCAAAACAGGTTGGAAAATAACCTGAATGCAGCTGACAAATGCGTCCTCCTTTTCCCCAGATTTGAAGGATGGGTCGGGTGTATCCTTCGTGGCCCACCATATCCCAAAATTCATAGCGCAGCCCAGCCAATTCCAGTTTCCAGCAATGGCGGCAGCTACTTAGTTTTAATATTACTCTTATTACTCTTTCTGGGTCACAAAATAAACTTTTCAGATATTTTTAGGCGAGAATGTAGCTGTGTAAACTTCAAATATCTGCTCAGCTTATCAAGATATCACATATTTGCAAAAGTGTTCAGACGTTTTCGGAGACGTCTGTTACCCACCAGCTCGATAGTTAGCTGGGGCGAGAATAGCAAACTCCCGGTACATCGTTTTCAACCCCTCTGCGGTCTTTCGCTTCTCAGGTTGAACATGATATATAAGTCGAATAAAAGATTAAAAGATTCGGCATGAGCCCCCGCATCCTCAGGACCTTCTATCACTGTGCCATTGAGAGCATCCTCACTGGATGCATCACCACCTGGTATGGCAACAGCACCGCCTACAACTGCAAAGCTCTCCAGCGAGTAGTGCGGTGCTCTGAACGGATAATTGGAGGTGAGCTTCCCTCCCTCCAGGACATCTACAGGAAGCGGTGCCTGAGGAAAGCGGGGAGGATCATCAAGGACTCCAGTCACCCCAGCCATAAACTGTTCAGACTGCTTCCATCAGGAAGGAGGTTCTGCAGCATCCGGTCCCGAACCAGCAGACTGAGAGACAGCTTCTTCCACCAGGCCATCAGACTGCTGAACACTTCATAGAAACCTCAGCTTCACTACTGGAACTTTAACATTATGCCCTCCATACTGTACAGTAACGCCACTGTTTTGCACATGTCTCAACTCTGTATATTTTTATATATTTTATTTATTGTTTACTCTATTTAATTTGTAAAATATGTGTACACACACACACACACACACACACGTAGAAAAATATTTAGTATACACATCCAGAAATGCATATACTATTATATATTGTACGTATATTTATTAGTTTCAGATGTAGCCATTCTTGTATTTTGCTTGTTTACATTATTGTATTTTGCACAACTCTGTTGCTTGTGAAGCTCGCACACAAGAATTTCACTCACATGTGCTGTACCAATGTACCTGCACATGTGATGTGACAATAAAAGTGATTTGATTTGATTTAAGTCACTCAGATAGCTTAAAAATTTTATTGTTTGGCTTTTTTCAGTGTTTTATTTGTTTGTGAGTAAATCGATTTGGCTGAGATTAAAGTTATAGTTTTCAGACAGCTGAATAAATGTCAAACAGAAAAAATGATTAAACAGAAGTGTGAGATGATTGAAAATTTACGCCAGTGTCCTGTTATATTTTAGATAGGAAGGAGCAGACAGCTGGGTTTATTAAACTCCACTGAGACAGCTGGTGACGCAAAACTGAAGGCTAGACCGTCCAGTTTCACAGCCGATCACTTCAGGCTACCCGGCCTTCGGAGGACCCGGGCCACGTAGGTCGTGAAGGCCGGGTCCTCAGGAGGATGCAGCCTGTCAATTTGGGCACCCCCATTGTTGCACTTTGCTCCCATGTTAGGGTCCACTTGTCAAAGGGAAAAGAGTCGTATCAGTGCAAAGTTGCTATGAGAGATTATCTTTGGCCTGTGACTAAGTATTTGAAGAGGGAATAGTTGATTATGAAAATGATGTGAATCATATACCATGGCTTCCACAGTCACCAGATCTCAACCAAGACTATCTGGGGGAAATTTCACTGATAGGTAATAACTCTGTTAGTGTTTCCGAATCAATTCCAGGAAACACTGGAGCTGTTACGGAGCCATGTGTTGTACAAACTTGTCTTTGTCACCTGCTTGTACACATTGCTTCTTTGGTTCTGGTCTGTTATTTGTTTCTACATATTCATGTTCTGTGAGCCTGTTGGCAGAGAATGCTATTTGTGTGTAACTTAATAAAAAAAACTTATCAAACATGTTTCTCTTTCTATAGACGATCACCATAGACTTTGCGCTACTCGACTTGACTTCTGCAAGCAGCCAAGCCAAGAGTCAATACTATCATGGGGGTTACGATGGATGTAGCAAAGCAGAAATTGATAATAAAACTAACAAGGAGGCAAGGAAGGTAACCCTTTGCATAAGCTTGCAGGTGCTGCTGTAATTATGTTCACTGTGCTTACTGAATTTTCCTTAATTCCAAGATTACTCTGCCATACATCGTTTACAGTTGACTGTTATGGATGGTTGTTCATCTTCCCGAAATCAATACATTAAAAAAGGTTACCTGATTTGTGATATTACAAGATTTTGTTACACATAACTTTTTTGAATTCTTTTGTTCAGTCTTTCCCCTTGTATGCAACTTGTATTACAAAAAAAGACTAAAACTATAACTGAAGCTAAGCATTTTCAAAAAAATAAAAACTAAATGAAAATCTCAAGTTGAAACTAAATAAAAACGAATGAAAACCTTGGTGTACATTGATAACTTCTTAACTCTTTATTTTGTCTTCTCATCTGCATAGCCATTTATAGACATGAAAGTTATATGAAAGTTATCTGTTTGACAGCAAGATAAACACATGCTAACATTCCCCTGTAATTTCTGTCACACCTTCTCAGTAGAACACAAAAAAGACCTTTCAGAACATGTTGGCCTTTTTTTTTTTCAATGAAGCACTAAACCTGTTTGGAAAGGAGTGCAGTGACTAGATAAGGAAACATATGCATAAAGGTTACCTATTAGACAGTAAGATAGTAAGAACATTTCCCTGTGTCATTTCTGCATTCTGGCCTCTTTGAATTGATAAACTAGGTAGAATACAACACAAACCTGTCAGATCATATCAAATTTTTTTGAATACGGGTTAATGTGTTTGGAAAGGACTGTAGATAAGAAGATATATGTATAAAAGTAATCTCTTAGAAAGGGAAAGAAATAAATGCAAAAAATTTCCCTGTGTCATTTCTGTCACACCTTCTCTCTTTCCCAGTATCACAGCTGAGCAAAGGCTGAATTGCTTTCTGGCCTGTTTGGATTGATAAACTAGGCGGAAGATCCTGTAGTGTTTGAGCTTTTTTGGATACAGGGGTAAATATGTTTGGAAAAGTGTAAATGACATACAGTAAATGGCTAAAATCAAAATCTTGTTGATTTCTTATATCATTAAGGGTTAATTGAAATAAGGTTAAATGTGCTATATAAAGTTGGGCACTAAGTTTAAAACATTTATAGAATGAATGTCAACTTAAAAAAAAGAATTTCAGTAACAAAGGAACTATATCTCATTTACCAAACATACTATAATTAAATTATAATTAATTTAAACCCTTTTAAACTTTATAAAATGTTTCATAAAGAGTTCACTCGTAGTTTAAAAATGTTTCTCTACAGTCATAATGGGCATGAATGTCATGGTAATTTGAGTCAATTTCTTTGAACTAGAGCAGGGCGATATGACCAAAAATATTTATCACGATATACATTTGAAAATTTGCGATAACGATATAACTGACGATATAACTGACGATATAATTGACGATATAATTGACACTAGACAAAATACTTTACAACTCCACAACTTTATTAGCGCAAAAAATCAATGTATTTTCACTTAAACAAGCAGCTGTTTTTTATGTGCATTAAAGCTTTATAAAAATGTAACAGTGCAAATGCAAATTCCTTGCTGACAGTTTAACCAAAAGGCATTTCCAGTGAAAGCGAAAAGCTAAACCAGTTCCAGACCACGGAAGTTGCAGCATTTTTACAAACCAATTCTGGTTCATCCATTTCATTCAACGATCCACTTTCGCCCTTCTCATTCTCCGTCGCCGCCATGCTTTTTCCGCCATGTGCGTATGAAAACAAAGGCACTGCGCATGCGAGTTTGACCCATATTCTATCGCGATATTTCATTTTCTTATCGTTGCCCAACATTATACCGGTATTGCCGTGAACGGTATGATATGGCCCAGCCCTACTTTGAACTATTCTTCTTCCATGATGGAATTATTGTACCCATGCATCTTTAATGACTTTCTAAATAAGAATGGGATGCACAAGTTTGAATTTATTTGGGATTTTATGTGATCCACACTGGCTTGTTCAAGTTGAGAGGGTCTCTTGGAGACATTTCAAACAATGGGAAAGTCCAAAGAACAAATACAGGTTACAATGTAACAGTGTGATGTTAACAACTAATTTTCACCAACATCTGCAAGTATTTGTTAACTACAAATTATTTATTTATGGTCTATAATTTGACAATGGGTCAAATAGTGGGTCTTAAGCAATTGCAGAGTAATATTGTCTGTTTGAAATGTCATTCAGATTGAAGGCTCCTCCCACACTCTATATAATGCAGTCTTCCTGGGTGCAGAGAGACTAAGTCCCTGCAGAACTCTCATTTCTTCTCAGCTGTACTTAACCTACTACATATGCCAAGATGATGAAGGTAAGTAAATATATACAGTCTTAAGCAGATGGTACAAGCTTATTCTTTTCCAGGTTGATGTAACTAAATCAGCAGAGTTATGCTTAAACTAAAGTATAAGCAGTATGCTTTTAGGTTTGTTGTTTTTTCATAATTCTGACATTTTGGATTTATTTGATGGCCTTTTATCATTGAAATATTCATCACAGAGCATATGTGTGCATTAATCATTTCTTAATTGTTATTTTGTCTTCTCAGCTACAGATGGTTGATGCAGGGCATTATTTATTATGGGTGCATCACTATTTTGTAATGCTATTGACTCTTTTTGGAGTCATTTATTATTTCAGCTTCAGCCAGTAAACAGCACTGTCCAGTGCAGTATCACCAAAAATCCCTGTCTTTATCTGTACAGGATATGATAATAAAGAACATGACCTTCAAGGTCGAACAAACCCTGGTTGTTTTTGGAGTCATCAAATCTGGTAAATACTGATTAAGGATAAGATGTATTAGGATTTTTAAATTAGTGAGTGAGTCATAGTAAAGTTGAAAAATAAAATATATTTATAATAAAAAGCTTTTGGAGACTTTTTTGGAGTAACAAGAGTAATTGTACTTTCAATCAAAGTTCCACAAATGTACATCTTATTATACAGAGAAAAGTTGCACAAAAATGATAACTAAATCTCCAGGTAAGAGGAAAAATTTGAAAATTTGATTTTGTAAAGTATCTCTTTAACCTCCTAGGATCTTTTGTCCACATACGTGGACATCACATTCTGGGTGATTAAATTAAATTTTGCTCTACAAGGGCCCGATATCCACTTACGAGGACATTATACTGTGCCACTGTCCTATTGAATTTAAAGCAAATGTCCTTTCATGTGGGTCTAATTTTTCTCAGAAACAAAACTTAGGTTAAAAAAAAAAAAATCAGGTAATTTTTTTTTCATTCATCAGGTCCCAATCAGCCCAAATAGAAAAGAGAAATTAAAAATGCATGCCATGAAAGAGTTTGGGTCTTAGGAGGTTAAGGTAACTGAAGTTTGAAAGGTACTGATATAAAATGTGCAAATATGAGAATTTTTATTTGGGGGTGAACTTTCCCTGAAAGGTAGGTAATCACACTCTGTCACCATTTTATTAAGATTTACTATCTTGGGGCAATTATTGTAGCAAAATTATTTGCAAATCTGTGCCGATAATTTTGTATCTCTATGTCAGTCCATTTTAGTCCCATATTTTCTGATCCTAAATACTGTATAATGTAATGTAATAGCTTTCTCTCATTGCAGGTTTGTTGTGGATATTGGTGAGAGCGAGGACAGAATTGCATTTCATTTCAACCCTCGTTTTGATGACAGCAGACACATAAATATAATTGTCTGCAACTCTTTTGAGGGAGGCAATTGGCATCAGGAGCAATATGAGAAAAGCTTTCCTTTCAGCCCGGGAAAGGAATTCAAGGTGTGAGAGTGTGTTTGTCCGTATTGTAGCCTTGTTCTTTCATGCAATCTCTGTTGGAAAATGTGTGTCACGGTATCTTTGATTACATTAAAACGTCATTATTTGACCTTTTTCTGAGCTATATTACAGTGTTCACATCCTTTGTCTCTCTGTTTCTCTCACTCAAAATGCCTTTTTAGATCTCCATTCAGTTCACTTGCTCAGAGTTTGTGGTGACTTTATCAAATGGCTCAACATTCTGTTTTCCCAACCGCATGGGTGGAGAGAAATACTCTGTCATGGGCTTTCATGGGGATGCTGTCATCAGAAGCATTGAGATCAAGTAAAACGACATCCACCCTTGAATTGCTGAATTGAAATTCTTGTTTTATTTTTCTGTTTGTCTGGCAGCAGATTTTTAGCTCTGCACACAGATGACTGAACATCCTGTTATGGAACTGTGCAGTTTTAAAGTAGTCCAAGGGATTTTTTGGTTTGGATTTGTAGTTTTTTGCTTGCAAGAATCATATACAGTAAACTATCATCAAGTTTCCTTTAATGTGCCTTTAAATGCTTCACTATTCACTATTTGTATTTTCCAAGACTTTTTACTTTTCAATTCTTTCCTGCAAAAGCATCAATAAAGCATGTTCTACTATGAAAAAAAACATGACTCTGGTGGCTCCTTATACTTGTTTTACAATGCCTTTCATCCTTTCCCAGTGAAACACAGGCACTGCCCCGCTCTGTGATTTGACCTTTTACATACAAGTCATATTTCATACCTTCACAGTTTTGGGTCCAGTTTAAGTTATGAGAAGTGTTTATACCATAGATTAATTTTTCACATATAACTAATCTATCTACTAGTCTATACATGAACTGTTAATCCTTAATTAATGTTTTTCAAAGCAGGATTTTGGAATTATTATTATTTATTAGGATTTATTTTTGGAGAAAAATATCTACACAACATCGTGCACAGATTTATATAAGAAATTAACACAAAACAGACATGAAATGAAACAGTCATTCATTTTAATGAATGTGAAAATGGCAAGAAAATTGTGGGAGTGTCGGGACATAACCATTAATAACCACTACAACCATTAAACACTCACCTCACTGCTGTATTTCTAATACTTCCTCAACTACAATTGATAATTATAATTATTAATGCAATATCAATCAATGCTTGGAATAGAAAACACTAAAAGTGGTTTGATGTCATTTTGATGGCAACTTTGCAGTTTACTTCAGTGTAGTCTCAGAATGTGGAGAAAGCTTTCAATAAAATGACTCCAGCTGCTGGTGGTACATATACATAATAAATGGGATTCAATAATTCTTTTTGAAAAATTATCTTTTTTTTTTTTAAGTAAACTTCTTTTGGTTTACAGCAGATTTTGTTTCTGAGAAAGTGGATAGGGTACAGTTTTAAATGTTTTGAACCTTTAAACCGTTGAAAAGGAAACTTAAATATTTTAAATATCAGGTGAGTTGATTACTGCTATTTATTAAGAAATGCTGAGCAATGTTGTTGACTTCTACTTTTGAAGCTACTACTTACTGGAGAAATATCCCCACAAATACTCTGATATTGTTGCATTTACCCAAGAAGAGTAGGATATTTATTTACTTAGTTATACTGATTGCTTTTTGAATGACGTGAGAACAAATTGCCACTTTTACAATAAACTCAGGCGAGTCATATGTGATTATTTTTCTATATCACATTTTGTTATAACAGTGTAATAATAGTTGTCTCTTTTTCTTTATTGGAAGTAGTAGTGAAAGGTTTTTGCAGAATGTGGATTATTGAAGTACCTTAGTGTTATCACTGGAGGACAGTGGGTGCTCAGATCAACTTTGCTTAGTGTAAATTCCCCTCAAATTCTTCTCCCCTCCAACCATTTTAGCAAAACAGCCAAGATGGTAACAATGGGAATAATCATCTCAAGGCTTCAAGACTTCATGTCATCCTTTAAACTCTGTATACTTTCCAACAAATGATTATTTAAAATCATTTCCAGAAACCTTCCTGTTTTTAGCTGCCCCGTGGTTTTGTCAAGGTCATTTTTCTTGCTCTGTATTACTATTAATATTACTTTTACTTGTCTGTGTTTTATAGACATTCTTAATACATAACTTAAACACTGATAGCTGGTGCAAGCTTAGTCTATAATTGAACTGTGCTTTAATTAAAACAGATGTTTGTATTCACTTTTAAACATTATTTTAATGTTGAATATTTGATCTTTTAAGGTCAAAATGTTCACCATACAGCATATATGTACAATAATTACTTCTTTTTCCTTCTCATCTGCATAGGCATGCATAAACATGAAAGTTATCTGTTAGCAAGATAAGCACATGCTAACATTTCCCTATTTCATTTCTGCTATGTGTTCCCAGTATCAGAACTGAGCAGAAACTGAACTGCATTCTGACCTCATTGGCTTGATAAACCCAGCAAATTAAAATAAAGACCTTGTATCATTTATCCTTTTTTAAATGGAGTGCAGTGACAGATGAGAAGACATATGCATAAAAGTTACCTATTAGACAGTAAGATAAGCACGTTCTAACATTTCCCTATGATTTCTGTCGCACATTCTCTCTTTCACAGTAGTTGGGCAAAGGCTGAATTGCATTTTGGCTTCTTGAACCTTAGGCCTTGTATAATTTGTGTGTGTGTGCGTGTGTGTGTGTGTTGCACTGGTGCACAGTGACGGTGCATTCATGGTCACTATTACATCATGTGCAGCTCAGGTAAATTAGAACTTATGTTGGTGATACTTTGACTCATTCACTGCATTCAGTTTTTATACCAACTTTATACTCTATATGATAAAGACAATATAAACAGTAGTTAATGGAAAGCATTATGGGATGCATCTGCTTACACCTTGTTGAATTTAGTTGTGCAAATCATTAAAGAGCAGTAAACTTCAAAGCAGCAGCAACACAGGTCAGCTCATCACAACCGTTACACAAAGAAAATCTCCTGGAGCTCTGAATAGATATTATTGTAATTTTTGTCAAGTCCCATTTTAACCCCTCAGAACAACTGAAAAGTCCAAAAGAGTCAGTGAAGATCTAAGAAGGAGAATTGTAGGTTTATTCAAGTTCAGACAGTCTTTTGGAGGCATTTCAAACAAACAGTGTAACAGTGGGATGTTAACCACCAACATATGCAAACATTTTTTAACTTCTAAATTAGTTATTTATGGTCTATAATTTGACTATGAGTAAGGTAGTGGGTGTTTAGCACTGGCACAATCCTATTGGCTGTTTCACATATCACTCAGGTTGAAGGCTCCTCCCACACTCTACAGGGAGTCCAGAATTATTAGGCAAGTTGTATTTTTGAGGAATAATTTTATTATTGAACAACAACCATGTTCTCAATGAACCCAAAAAACTCATTAATATCAAAGCTGAATGTTTTTGGAAGTAGTTTTTAGTTTATTTTTATTTTTAGCTATTTTAGGGGGATATCTGTGTGTGCAGGTGACTATTACTGTGCATAATTATTAGGCAACTTAACAAAAAACAAATATATACCCGTTTCAATTATTTATTTTTACCAGTGAAACCAATATAACATCTCCACATTCACAAATATACATTTCTGACATTCAAAAACAAAACAAAACAAATCAGCGACCAATATAGCCACCTTTCTTTGCAAGGACACTCAAAAGCCTGCCATCCATGGATTCTGTCAGTGTTTTGATCTGTTCACCATCAACATTGCGTGCAGCAGCAACCACAGCCTCCCAGACACTGTTCAGAGAGGTGTACTGTTTTCCCTCCTTGTAAATCTCACATTTGATGATGGACCACAGGTTCTCAATGGTGTTCAGATCAGGTGAACAAGGAGGCCATGTCATTAGAATTTGATTATGGGGTGAATGGTCCTTTAAATTTATTGTAGCAAAATTATTTGCAAATGTGTGTCAAAAATGCTATATCTGTATTTCAGTTTATTTCAGCCCTATGTCCTTCCTACGCATGCTAAAAGGAATATAAGATGTAATAAATATTTGTGTGTCTGTACATTGCAGATTCACGCTGGATATTGGCTCCAGCGTGGACAGAATTGCATTTCATTTCAACGCTCGCTTTAATGCAAAGGGACAGATAAATAAATTTGTCTGCAATTCTTTGGAGGCAGGCAATTGGTGTAAGGAGCAACATGAGGATTGCTTTCCTTTCTGTGAGGGAAAGGAGTTTCAGGTATGAGAGTGTGTGCCTGTATTTTCACCTTATATATATATATATATATATATATATATATATATATATATATATATATATATATATATACATATTTATATATATATATATATATATATATATATATATATATATATATATATATAAGGGGTGCAGCGATACACAAAATTCACGGTTCGGTTCGATTACTTTGGTGTCATGGTTCGATATTTTTTCGATACAAAAAAAAATTGTTCATGCCTTTTTAATTTGTCATTTATTAAAATTATAAATATATATTTTAACTCAAAAGTACAGTTTTTAAATTTAACCCTAACCCTTGTGCGTGTTTTTTATTTTGACAGCGAATGCGCACCTGCGGACCACTTATGTGCAGCCCTGGTTATTTAGCTCGTCATATTGCAGCCACAGAAATTCTTTTGTCCATGAAACCATAAAGCTGTACTTTCTTTTTGCCTTATAGTCTGATTTGTCATAACTTTTCCGTTTTGTGGTAAGCTTTTCTTTGGCTGTCACTTCTTCACCCTGACCTGTCTTATTTGGCTCAGCAGAACTGAAATATAAATCCTGCTGCTTTTACACGCGCACTCACATAAGCTCAGCTATTCTCTGCGCGATCAACCTCTCACATGTTTAAGCTTGCTGCGGGAGATTTCACTTGTCATGTTTGCATAGTAAGCTAACAATTGATAAGACGATGTCAGAGGAATTGGTGTGCAAATTATCATCACTCACAGATCAGTGCTGTCGCTCTCTATACACAGTTCGCGCGATTGCAAAGTGAAAGCAAAAAAACAAGCGCAAATTCAAACGCGATTTCAATATGTCACATATTGACAGTGGCTCACCGATGCCAATGACATAATTACCCAGCTACATTTCCGAAAGAATGCAAAAGCATTGACATATATTTTTCCTTCCTGCGATAGGCCGACGGGCAGGGAAGAGATAGATTTTGGTAGCCCGACTGGAAAAATCGCTAGCTCCGGGACGTCGGGGAAGGAAAGTTGATAAAATAAATTACAAATTTTGTATTGTTCGATACATATGCGTACCGAACCGAAAGCACTGTATCGAACGGTTCAATATCGATACGAATATCGTTGCACCCCTAATATATATATATATATATATATATATATATATACATATATATGTATGTATATATATATATATATACATACATATATATATATATATATATATATACATATATATGTATATATTGAACTAGGTAGCTCCAAGTTCAACTAAAAATCTCAAAAAATGCAGCAAAATAGTGTGAGAGTGCAATCCCCAACTTTTGCTGGTATCTATGGTCAGTTTTGTAGATTAATAGCAAAAGTTGCACTATATTTTCAAACACAGATAGTCAGGCAGACAGAGTCATCACA